AAGGTTTTCTCTATGTCTCTCACATAATTTTAGAAAAAGTGATCCATAATTTTTATATAATAACAAATTACTGATTTAATTAATAATTTGTGTAAATTAATTAATTAGAATTTAAATTCAAGATTAGAGGGGGTAACAACTAACAAATACCTACTTATAATTGAAGCAAAATCGGAAAGCGAAGCATTCTCCTTATTCTTTAATCGAAGGTGTTATGTAAATATAATCGAAGTTGCTTGTATCCTCGGGCCCCGGGGGGATCTAAATTATGTTTGGAATGAATTTTCAGCCATCCTAATTAAGTGGCTTTTTAATGGAAAATCATGGGAGACCCATCTCACTTGTGTTTGGATTGACATTTTGAAATAATGCAGTGAGAAAAGCCCAATGAAATAACCATTAAAGGAGGAGCATCAAATATGCATATTAAACTTTAACCTACGCATCATTTTATCTTCTCTGCGACAAGCAAAAACAAGCACTCAATTGGCTGTGATGATTTAAAAATGAAAACCATATTTAAATCAACCATCACGAAGTTGCTTTTGTAATTCACTAAACTATAACACCCACTTTCACTCATCAAATGGTTAGATGCAAAACCTTCCCCTCCTGGAAGCTGCCAGAGTGCCAGCCCTTCACCACGTATGTAAGTTTTCCTTTATCAAACTAATAATTTTATCTTGTTCTTAACATCTGGCCATATTCACTTTCGGTTCCATCCATCTAATTTCATGTATTAAAAGTTATGTCACAAGTGATGTTCATTTGGGTCTGAAGAATTAAAGGTGAGTCAAGTCTTTCGCTACCATACCCCATCATCTACTGAGTTCTTTCCGCACTTTGAAACAAACTGCAATGGCTTCCGCTTTCCTCAAGCTCTGGTTCTGGGCCGAATGCTTCAAGAAAGTATGATGTTTGTTAGCTTTAGAGGCAAAACCCTCAACAACGTCACCAGCCATTTTCATACAATTCTCCCAAAGACTTGAGTTGTAAATAACAGATATTGTTTTGGTCCAAAAAGTAACACATATTAATTAAACACGCTTTCAAACACAATTGGCCCCACCATCTGTAACAATTAAAGCTCTGACCCCACCATCACTTGGTGGAAGCTACAGGGAAGTAACGGAGCAATTATTATTCTTCCAAACCACACCAAGTCAGAGGATATTGCGGACAAATAGCAAAGCAATTGGTATGAGAGCATCAACATCAGCTTTTCAGCGTATGCCCCACATTTTGTTGGATGTTAGTTATGTAGAAGTTTTCACAAGCAAATGTAATTCTCCCAAAGACTTGACTTCATAATTACTTTGCCCCAGAAAAATGACTTATACTCCCTCCAATTTTAAATATAAGAGTTATATAATTAATTTATAGAATTAAGTTTATCATTTGAAAAATATGTGTTTGATTTACCTAAATACTCGTTTAATAATTGTATTTGAAAACTATCACATTAATCGGATAAAATACATTAAATTTTTATATTTAGAATTAAAATACTCTTTCAATTCAAATTAGATCTAGACACCAAATCCTTGTATTGTGGACGTATCGCCTGATCTAATATAACATGAAGGCTAGGTTTGGATGGATAAAAAATTATTGAAAGAAAAGAAAAAAAATGAGAGAAAAATAATGGGAGAAAATATTGTGAAGGAAAATTTTTTGCAATACTAAAAAGATTTATTATTTTTAAAGTTTTCTTTTTGAGTGTTCTTTTCTCTCTATATTTTTCACATCCAAACAACAAGGGGAATTTTCAACCTTTTATGCACAACTTCTCAGTTGAGGATATGGACGAGTTCAGTATGGAGACCAATGCATGCAATTCCGCCGTAAGTCTTGAGTTCTAAATAATACTACCTCAAACTCTTAATATAAGATATATATATATATATATAACTAATTTGTGAAACTACGAACTCTCTTAATATTTGTAAACAATAAAAATAATCTGGGCAAAAAATTATAAATTTGCAGGGAAGAAACAGAGTAATTATTATTCCTCCAAACCCCATTAAGTCAGAGGAAGTTGCGGTGAAATGGCAAAGAAATGGGTATATGAAAGCATCGACATCATCTTTTCAGCGTAGGCCACACATTTTATTGGACCTTACTTAAGCAGAAGCTTTCACATGCAAATGTAACTCTCCCGTTGACTTGACTTCATAATTATGAAGCTAAGTTTATTATTTAAAAAAATATGTGTTTTTTTGACCAGGGGAAAAAAAAATGTGTTTGACTAACCTGAATCCTCCTTTAATAATTGTATTAAAACTACCATATTAATAGAAATCCCCATGTACTATAACAGTAATAGTGTAAAAAGAAAATTATGAATTTAAAAAAAAAATAGAATCACTCCTTGCCTCAGACCTTCTTCCCCCGATCCTATGTGAGAGTGGCGTTGGCTTTACGCTCCTCTTCTGACTGTCCTTTTCAACCGGACAACACAGGAAGGGAAGATTAGGAACAGCTGGCCATGAATAGTAAGTGGGACCTATTTTTCCTCTATTTCTCTCCTTTTTCCGTTTATTTCTCTTTTTATCCCGGTTAGATCATGGGATGACTCCTCTTCAAACACAATTGACCCTGCCATTACCTCTAACAACTAAAACTCTGACCCTACCATTAGTTGGTGAAAGTTGCAGGGAGGCAACAAAGCCAAACCACACTAATTGCTATGAGCGCATCAGCATCAACTTTTCAGCGTAGGCCACGCGTTTTGTTGGACCTTAGTTACGTAGAAGCTTTCTTTCTTTCTTTCTTTCTTTTTTTTTTTTTTTAGCCGAAGAAGCTTTCATGAAAATGTACTTCTCCCAAAGACTTGACTTCATAATTAGTGTGCCCCAAAAAATAACATATACTCCCTCCAATTTTCAATTAATTATTTCCAAAAAAATATTTGTGGGTTTACCTAAATACTCCTTTAATAATTCATATTAAAAACTACCACATTAATAGAAATCTCCTCCTTTAATTATAAATTTCAAAGATAATGTAAACTGAATTTTTATATTTAAAATTAAAATATTCTTCCAATTCAAATTAGATTTAGACCGATCTAATCAATCATTAGTTTTTTATATTTATCAATCCGTTTAGCACGCAAACCCATTTCAAGTTAAATTGAACCAACAGAAAGGAACATAAAGTCAATGCAAGCAATGGGCAAAACAAAACAAATAGAAGTAAGTCACTCTGTAAAATCTGAAAACAGATTGAGAAAAGGTCAAAAATCAAAGAGTGTGTTTCAAAAATTAACTAAATTCATAATATTATATTATACTTAAAATGGTGAACGTGCCAAGATACCTATAAATTTTCACTCGAAGTATACTCACCACTATAATCTTTTCATAGGTGCAAAAATACATAAAAACTTGCAAGACCAGAGAAAAAATGATTTCACCCACGCTAATGCTATGAAACTATCAAAATGCCGCTAATTCAAATAAATAAAAAAAAGCGAAGGTACAAAAATACTTATAAACTTTTAATCAAAGCGTGCTAAATATCATATGTTTTTTCACGTTTGTAAAAGTACCAATGACCATACAAATAAATTAATTCTTCCAGTTTTAACAGATAAACTCTATTAAATTTTATTATACTATGATAATTAATGCTAATAATTTTATGGTTAATATATATGTTTAGTCTTTTAAATTTACATCAAGTTTTAATTTAGTCTCTTAAATACGGAAAGTATATTTTTAGTTACTAAATGTTAACATCATAGGTCACATTAACAGAAAATACTTACTCAATGAATTTAAGCGATGATTCTATAAAGGTACCCATAAACATATAAATAAATTAATTATTCTCGTTTTTTTAAAAAATTAAATTTTATTACACTATTACACTTTTGCACCTTCGTGAAGGTTATAGTGATGGATACATTTTGAGTAAAAGTTTATAGGTATTTTTACACCTTCACTTTTCAAATTAATTATAGTAACTGTGGTAATTATTCTAGTAGATGATCGGTTGGTGTTGGTGGGGCTTTTGCATTATTGCTCTGTGTATTGGTTCTCAAACCTTGTGCATTTTAATTTGGCAACTGGGTCTCTTACATATTCCAATTTGTTTTGTTACAGTACAAGCAGCATCGAAATATACTAGAACCCATCATTTTAATTGACCCTATCATCACTAACAAATATTAGAACCCATCATTTAACACAATTTCAAACAGAATTGACCCTATCATTACTAGCAATTACTCTATTCAATTTTTGATATAAGAACTAGTTATGAGTCAAATTTAGTATTAGATATCAGATCTTAATATGTTTATCATATTTATCATTTTTTTCAAACTAATTTATTTATATTATAAATTGATATATATAATCTAATACTCTATAAAAAAATTTTAAGAAGATCATGTCATGTTTATTATAATTAAATAATTTATTCATTTTTAATATATTTAAATTAGTAAGTAGTTTTTATATTGAAAAATAGAAGTCAGTAACAACAATGTCCCTAACACTAATATGTGAAAGTTGAGAGCAATTGAATTTTGATTGGAACGTTCCGCCTAGCTACGTTAAGTAGGGGGAAGCTGCCGAAAAGTAACAAAGCAATTGGCATGAAGCATCAACATCATCTTTTATGTACAAACCATTCCCATGCGGAAAAGTTACATAACTTACACTCATTCACACACAATGGACCCTACCATTGAGGGTACGACCTTTCCCTGTAATTCATCGAATGACGGACGGACAATGTACTTCACATGCAATGGACCCTGCTTTTTGTCGCTGCAAGAAAGGTGGTGGGGTTAGGATGGGAATGAAATTTGCTATTAATTCCAATGTGAAAAGGGTAAAAGTATCAGTTACGGTGTCATTTGGCTTTGGAGACTTGAAAAAGTGAATAAAGTCTAGCCGCTGCCATGCATACTCCATCATCAATTCACTTTTGCCATTTCTCAGCAAAGAAGACAGAGAGAGATCCGAGAGAGTAATAAGAATACCATGTTTGCCATAGCTTCTCCATCATCTTCTTCTTCTTCCAAGAAATATGATGTGTTTCTGAGTTTCAGAGGAGAGGATACTCGCAGATCCTTCACCAGCCATCTCCATGATGCCTTGTGCCGCGGGGATATTAAGACATACATAGATTATGAGCTCCCAAAAGGTGATGACATCTCCCAATCACTCATTGAAGCAATTCAGGATTCATCCATCTCTGTGGTGGTCTTCTCTCAAAACTATGCCACTTCAAAATGGTGTTTGAATGAGCTCCTTGAGATCCTTCGCTGCAAACAACATCAGGCACAGATTGTTGTTCCTATCTTCTACAAAATTGACCCATCTCATGTACGCAAACAAAACGGAGCTTATGAGAAAGCATTCACAGAACATTTGGAGAAAAACTCAGAGAAGGCGAAAGAGTGGAAACAAGCACTTGTTAAGATTGCAAATCTAGCAGGATGGGACTCCTGCAACTACAGGTCACTCTTCATTCTCTAACTCCAAGTATCTGAATCAGAGTTTCATACTTTTACTTATTACTATGATTGGTCTTCATATTCATATAAATTGCTTTTTTCTTTCCATATTAGCTTATCCGACAACTAATTAACTGGCAGTGAATAATGATGTTGGATCATATCCTGCAATACTCGTGTATATATGACATATAAGCTTAATTTCTTTAAATTATTGTGTTTACATGGGAAAAAACATTATTTAAATGGTGTCATCTCAAACTTGGATACTTGAGCTTTGAAAGTTGATTTTTTTTAATATTTTTCTTCTTTTCCCCTAAAAGTTGATTTTTTTCTTTTTCTTTTTCTCCTGTCAGATGAAAGTTTTTTTTTTTCTTTAAAACTGTTCAATGTAACCTTTCTTTGAATTGATTGTCACTACGAATAACTCATATAGTAGAGTAAATTATGCATACATTTCTTACGTTGGAATGAAACCTTCTTAATAATTTTGAAAAATGGAGGAAAAATATCCACACAAGTTGGATAAAATTTTGAAGAAATTTATCATTTTTTTCAAAATAATAATATTGTCATGTAAAAAAAAACTGTCAGCAATTAGTTGTCACTTTATTTAATACATTATTTTTAATTAATTTTCATTTGATACATTAATACTTTCTTTTGGAATTCTTTTTCTTATATCAGGGATGAAGCAGAACTCATTCAAAATATTGTCACGGACATCAACAAAAAACTAAACCGTGGGTCCCCAACAACTGTATTAGAAAATATTGTTGGAATTGATGAGAATTTAGATCAAATTGAGTCGTTGTTAGAAGAATTCTCAACAATTGGGATTTGGGGGATGGGCGGGATGGGCAAAACAACAATGGCTAAGGTTGTATTTGCCAAGCTCCGCTCTCAATTTGATAGTTGCTGCTTCTTGGAAAATTTTAGGGAAGAGTCAGAAAAGCATGGGTCAAAATATGTACGTGACAAACTTTTCAGTGCACTATTGAAGGATACATCTCTTGGAAGGCTCAGTCATAGAAAAGTTTTGATTGTACTTGATGATGTTAGCAACACGCAGAAGTTAGATGATTTGGAAAGGGAAGCTCCTCATTTGGGACCTGGTAGTAAAGTCATCATAACAAGTAGAGATAAGCAAGTGCTTAATGGAAGAGTTGAGAGAATACATGAGGCCAAGGCATTGAGCTACAACAATTCCCTTGAGCTTTTCAACCATAAAGCCTTCCGCAAACACGGTTTTAAAGGTGAATATAAAGAGCTAGTTGAAAGAGCTCTTGCTTATGCCCAAGGCGTTCCATTAGCCTTAACCATTTTGGGTTCATTCCTTTATTCCAGAACCGTACAACAATGGGAAAGTGCATTGAGGAAATTGGAAAGGAAAGCCGATAAAGATATTCAAGCTGTGTTAGAATTGAGCTATGACGGACTTGATGATGAAGCGAAGGATATATTTTTAGACATTGCTTTTTTTTTTAAAGGTGAATGGGGAGAATATGTAAAAGCAACGCTAGAGGGCTCTGGCTTTCACGCAAGCATTGGCTTGGGAATTCTTGTGGATAAGGCGTTGATAAGTTTTCGTTATGGTGTGGTATGGATGCATGATTTAATTCAATCAATGGCTTTCGAAATTGTTCGCAAAGAGTGTAAGAATCCAGGAGGACGTAGTCGACTATGGAATTCCGATGAGATCATCGACGTCCTAAAAAATAATCAAGTAAGAGAAATATTTACCTTTCTTATTAAACATTTGAAAACGAATGAAAAGAAATTGTTAGTATAAAGCAACTTATTTATTTTCTTTTGGACTTTTGTGTTGTTCAGGGAAGTGATGCAATTCAAGGCATAAGTTTAAGTTTGTCTCAAATTAAAGAATTACAATTGAGTGCTGATTCCTTTGGAAAGATAACAAATTTAAGGGTTCTGAAAATCTATTCATTCACACATAGAAGATCGTGTGTTGTGAATCTTCCTTCAGGGCTTGAATCATTTCCCAATTCGTTAAGGTATCTTCAGTGGGACAATTTTCCTTTAAAGTCTTTACCATTGTCAATTTGTGCCGAGAAGCTAGTTGAACTTCGGATGCCTGGTAGCTGCCTTCAAAAACTATGGGATGGCAAGCAGGTATGACATACAAATATGAGTCTTATAACTTTTCTCTTTTTTACAATTTGATTCAAATTTAAGACTCTTGTTTCCTATGTAATATTTCTCTTTTTAATTGTTACAGGACTTGGTGAATTTGAGGCATGTAAACCTTATGGAATCCGAAAAATTGATAGAGTTGCCAGATTTGTCAGCAGCTAAAACACTTAAATACATTGAACTTGGATACTGTGAAAGTTTATGCCATCTTCATCCATCCATTTTATCTCTTCCGAGATTGAAGTATGTGGATCTTGCGCATTGCAAAAACCTAAAGAGTTTGAAAACAGAGAGTCAATCAAAATCGCTCTTGCGACTAAATGTGGCTAGGTGCTCTGGTCTCAAGGAATTTTCATTCTCTTCGGACAAACTTACTTTTTTATGTTTACATACCTCACCAGTCGAGAATATAGACTTTTCAATGGGGCATATGGAGAACCTTTGGAGACTCTCTCTTAATGGTTTGAAACTAAAGAATCTTCCAATTAACGACATTTGTTGCATGAGATCTCTTAAACAGCTTGCTCTTGATTATTGCACCGGAGTGATTGACAAATCAAAGCTCCATAGCTTATTTGATGCTTTGCGATATCTGGAATCACTTTCTTTGAGAGGGTCATGCACATTAACGGAACTTCCAGACAATATCAAGCATCTCTCGAGGCTACAGTCTCTTGATGTAAGCTATTGCAGGGACCTTCAATCTTTACCGGAGCTTCCTCCATCCATTGAAGAATTACATGCCAACAGCTGCACATCATTAAAGACGCTACAATTCACTTCTCATATTGAATCTCCATCATTGGCAGATGAAATAATGTTGGGTTCAAACCCCCGTTCATCAGTTAGTTATCTCCAAAACCTTCGAGAGCTTAGTCTTGGTGGTTGTGAACAGTTGTATGAACTTCCTGAAAGCATCGGCTCCTTGTCTTCATTGTCTTCACTGGATTTGAGTGGTTGTGAACAGTTGTATGAACTCCCTGAAAGCATCGGCTCCTTATCTTCATTGTCTTCACTGGATTTGAGTGGAAGTACTGTAGCGAGCTTGCCTGCTAGTATCAAGTATCTCTCAAATCTAAAAGACATACGCTTGACCAATTGTACAAGACTTCGTTCTCTGCCAGAACTGCTGCCATCCACAGAAACCGTCTTCGCTTGTGGTTGCATATCATTGGAGATTGTACCCATTTCAATACCTTTTGCACCACAATTGAAGTTGCTACTTCTGAGAGATTGCTTGAAATTGGAGAACTGCTCTCTGTCTCATGTGACGGAAAGTACTTATTTCTTAATGAAGCGATTGGTGTACACAAACCGAGGCGGTGCTGTCTGTTACCCTGGAATAAAAGTTCCAAAGTGGTTTGGATCTAATGAGAGAACAGAGGCTTCCAACTGTATAACTATTGAGTCTCCTTCAGCCACAAACGACCTAATCGGCTTCATCTTTTGCTGTATTCTTTCTCGGCATTCCTATAACGATGATGTGCGATGCCAAATTTATTTTGATGGTAAGCGGTGCGTATCCTCAAAGTTTGGTTTGTATGCGGATGAGCATTTGCAATGTTATGATGATGAAAATTCGGAATTTTATGATGATGAAAATTCGGAATCACGTCATGTTTTTTTGTGGTGTGATCCTGACCAATCGATAAACTTCCACAAAGCAACGGACAATCAAAACACCAATTACAGGCCAAAGGTGTCATTTGAATTCTCTGTTGCCAACTTTGAAGAGAAGCTCGTTGATTGTGTGATTGAAGCATGTGGAGTCTTCCCAATATATGCCTCGAAATATCACGACTTCATTCAACAAATGGGACGGGAGCCAAACTTGGGTACCCAAAAAGAGTCCTGTCATTATGCTGATGAGAATTCATTTCATGAAATGCTCCAATATGTTAGATTCTCATTGAAGCAAGGAGAATGTGGCAATTTTGAAGGAAGTACTATTCCAGAGTGGTTTACTTACAAAAGTTCAATGACAGAGTACGGAGTTTTGCGTGTGAGTGTTCAGGTTGCTCCAGATTTTGAAAACTTAATAGGTTTCATTTTCTGCTTTGTCATGCCTCATTTCTCCTCAAAAGAAAGGGATCAATGTCACTCATCATGTGAATGCAACTGGCATGACGCGGAAAATTCTCTCTTCTTTTTGCAAGGTCCAACAGGGTGGCACTATTCAATGGAAAAATTGAATTCATATGATAATGTGTTTCTATGGTATGATCCCCTCTATTGTGAACACCTACTACACAAACTGCGAACAGAGGGAAAAGGTTATAATGAGGAGCTTGAATTTAAATTTGAGTTTGGTGATGGCGAGATCCATGAATGGGGGCTTTATAGTCGTGATTGCTTGATCAAAGAATGTGGAGTACGGCCTATATATGTCTCAGAGTATACAAACTTCCTGCAACAAAAGAAAGTGGAGGTAAGTATGCCAAAAAAGAGGCATCGGAATATTGATGATGACCAAAATCGACTCCCTTCAACAAAGAAATTGAAGGACTCTTATATAGATGTTATTCAATCTATTCCCCTGAATTCTGAGTCCAAGATATCTCATTATGCTGATGAGTTGCTACTTATGCTGTCCCAATTGAATTTGGAATCTACAGAGAAACACACTCATCACAAATAAACTACCTACAATCCATTACTTGATCGGTATGTATCTCTCTTTTACATTTCGTTAATTAAGTTTGACATTGGTATACAGTAGCTACCCCAGGAAAATATAGATGATGCTTTTAAATAAACACGTGTTGCTTTGCAATATATGCATGGCCTAGTTTCGTTAGATACCGTAATTAAAAATAAAAAAAGTGTTGAATGGAATAACCAACCAAATCTTAAGATGATTATATTTAAGAACGAAACTATTTTTCAGAATCCTTCTATTTTCCTAGATTTCTGACTACTTACAAAATAATTCAACTTCTGCGACAGTCAACAGAGGCTAAGGAAAGAGTCTTCATGATTTAGCCCCTCGTATTTGTGGGTGTAAATTGTGGTGAAGCAGTGAAGCTTTCATTTCCTCTGGATTTCAAAACTAAGTACTGATCAAAGGATGGGCAATGTGCTGATTACTATCACATCAAATGCAGATTGCTGCAAGCCGAGATTTGAGGGTAACCAAGAAAATTAAATTCCTAAAATTGATTTTTAGTTGCATATCTTCTTTCTGATGCAAACCCTATATTCAATCATTAATATCACTAATGTTATACCCAAAAAGTTTATTAGCTGATAGTGTCATATTCTTTCATCTTTGCAGTTTGACATGTTATATGTATTTAGTCATCATTCTCGGCCAAGAAAAGCTGACAGTAAAAACCGACGGATGCTCCTGCTTAATGTGAAAACGTATTCATACTGTTGTTGGACATAAAAGAAAAGTGATGTTTGACATTAAAAAGGTTAAGTCTGAAGAGTTGGAATTTCTTCTGTTTTCCGTCAAAATAATTGCTTTCTTCACTTTGTTATGCTTGCTTTCTTTTTCTCTCTGCTTTTAGGAAGTTATGTACCGAAACCAGGATGCGTGCGTGTGAGTTTGTAATTTGAAAATGATCTTCAATTTGTTATTAAGTTAAATTGCAGATCTTGATACAAGAGACACTGATTGTGATGTCCAGTTATTAAAACAATACGGAAAATAGGCAGAGACCAGAAGTAACAAGTTACTGTTTCTCACATTTCGTTAAAAGTCGGTCATATTTATTAAATGGTCAATAACATGCTGGAGAATGTAGCCTGACCTGAGAAATTCTATTCAGGGGTATTTTATGACAAGCATGTGGTGTGTGTAATTGTTGTAAATTTTAAATTCCCGTTTGTTATAAGGATTACAGGTTATACTGCTTTGTTATGCGTGAGAAAATAATTAATTAATATAATTAGTCTTAATTTTTGAGTTGGTTTGGTCTTTTTTTAATAAAATGCAGTCTGGAATTGTATGACCATTTTTTTGGCCTTGAGATTGCATGAACATTAAATGTATTTTTTGACAAATTTTATTCCTAATTAATTCTATTATCTCTTGTTATCTTTTCTTTTCATGCATTCTCTCTCTCTTTTTGTTCACTTTTTCTCTTTTTCATCCTTGACCCTTTTATAAATAAAGACATATTTGGAAAAAAAAAGTGTTTATTTTTGACGTATTTATTGGTTTCAACTAATTTTAATAGATTTCTTAAACTAACTAAAATTTCTCCCCCACAGATTAATATATTTGAAATTTTAATAAATTGTATTATCTAAAGTAGCTCAACATTTGCTTCTCACCATATCAATTTTTTTATTTATTCAAATGGAATTTGAATTAGATATGCAAAGTTTAAGGGGAATAAATGAAAATTTAAAATTATTTATTTATTTTTTATTTAAGACTCCAATTGACTTACTATTTAATTATGATGCTCTTCATTTAATTTAACATATTTAAATCCCAATTAAAATATTATTCAAATTCAAAATTAATTATTAGTTTCTTCATTTGAGTCTCCAATTTAAATTTCATTTATAATGATACTCCCTATTCAATTATGTTAACGTATGAATTTACTCCTTTAACTTTATAAGAATTTTTAATTTGGTCCCTTAACTTTAAATTTTTTTTTTTCAAATGATGATATTGAGATCTTAATTCTTGATAAAATATTCTCAAATGCTAATAGATTAGTTTTAATTTTTGAAATAACCATGATTGTGATGAAAAATTATCATTTAAACCTAATAACTCTAGGGTTAAAGGACCAAATGTATGCTTTTTAAAAGTAAGAAATTAAATTAAAATGTATGATTTAACCTTTAATTTAATATATTCAAATTCCAATTAAATTATTCACATTCAAAATTAATTTAATTTAAATCTTTTCAAACAAATCAAGTATTGTAAGTTTTCAAGTGTATAGTTGATAGTTAATTATTGATAATTAATAGTTGATAGTTTGATTTGGGCTGTCCAGATTTAATCAGGTATTATAAATTTTCAAGTGTATAGTTGATAATTAAAGTTGATGAGTAATCTGGGCTGTCCAAATTTAATCTGGACGGTCCAGATTTAATATTATTAAATAATTATTTTAAAATAGAAAAAATTATATTTTTAAAGAATGATAGTTAAGAGATTATCTTTATTTTTTATCCTATACCTATTAAAATAATTATTTTTAAAAAATAAAAATAAATCTAGACCGTCCAAATCAGATCTGGACAGTCCAAATGGGTGATGAGCATTGGGTGCTCATCACCTGATGAGCACCCAATGCAAATCCCAAAAAATGGAGCTTTCAAACATGCAATACATAGCATTTATGTATATTTAAGATATGTGAATTAAGAGTTGTTTTCTTCAACAAAACCGTGTCTTGTTGCTGATAATTAAAAGAACACTTTAATTTTCTATTTAGAGTAAACTGAAAATGGTTCGAAGGTGTTTCCAACTTCCTACAAGTTCCTATATATCCTTGTATAGTGGATGTATCGTGTGATCTAATATAAAATGAATGCTAGGTTTGGATGGAAGAAAAAATAAGAGAAAAATAATGACAGAAAAGAAAAAATGAGAGAAAAATTATGGGAGAAAATATTATGAAGGAAAATTTTTTGCAATACTAAAAAGATTTATTATTTTTTAAACTTTTCTTTTTGAGTATTCTTTTCTCTGTGTATTTTTCACATCCAAACAAAGAGGGGAATTTGCAATCCTTCTATGCACAACTTTTCGGCTATGGACGAGTTCAATATGGAGGCCGATGCATGCAATTCCACCAAAAGACTTGAGTTCTATATAATATTGCTTCCAACTCTTAATATAAGATATATATATATTTATACTTTCCTTAGTTCTTAATATAAGATCTATTTTGTAATGTAATTTACACGGCAAAATAGGTCTTATATTTAGGACCGAAAAAGTTTGTATATATATAACTAATTTGTGAAACTACGAAATCTCTTAATATATGTAAACAGTAAAAATAATTTGGGCAAAAAATTATAAATTTGCACGGAAGTAACAGGGTAATTATTATTCCTCCAAACCCCATTAAGTAGCAAAGCAATTGGTATATGAAAGCATCAATATCATCTTTTCAGTGTAGGCCACACATTTTGTTGGACCTTAGTTAAGCAAAAGCTTTCACATACAAGTGTAATTCCCCGGATGACTTGACTTCATAATTACTGTGCCCCAAAAAAAAAAAAATAACGCATACTCCCTCCAATTTTAAATATAGGAGTTATGTAACTAATTTATAGAGTTAAGTTTATTATTTAAAAAAAATAGGTGTTTGATTTACCTAAATACTCCTTTAATAATTGTATTGAAAACTACTACATTAATAGAAATCCCCATCAATGTGTACTATAACAGTAATAGTGTAAAACGAAAATTATAAATTTGAAAAATAAAATAGATTGAATTCATATATTTAGAATTAAAATACTCCTTCAATTCAAATTAGATCTAGAGGATGTCTAATAAATCATGAGTTCTTAATATTTATCAATCACCCATTTCAGGTTAAATTGAACATAAGTAATTGGCAGAAAAAAATTAAGCCTTTTTTTTTTTTGCCATGAGAAATTATTTGAGGAAAGTGGTGGGGTGGGATTTGTTTCCACCATCCCATGATTATTTGAACCAACCAAAAAAAAATGTGAGTACTGGGCCACAAATGATTTCTTAACATTATAATGCAAAAAATAATATATGTTAACTCTTTTACTTTGGCTTGACAACAATTTATTACAAGTCTTGATTAGAAAATGATGAGTTTAAACCTGAGATTAACAAAGTGCCAGCCCTTTACGTATGTAAGTTTTCCTTTATCAAAGTGATTCTATGGTTTTTCCATAACAAAAAGTGACTTTTCATTTCATATCAATTGACTAATAATTTTATCCTTCATTCTTGACAGCCGGCCATAGTCACTTTCTGTTCCATCCGTCCAATTTCACGTATTAACCGTACATGACGGGCCATTTATTCTTCACCCCATTCACAACTCGTCCAATGAGGATATGCACCACTTTAATATGGAAGCCAACCATGCAATTCTGCCAAAGACTTGAGTGCTAAATAACAGATATTGTTTTGGTCCAAAAAGTAACACATAGTAATCTGAACTTTAACACACTTTCAAACACAATTGACCCTACCATCTCTAACAATTAAAACTCTAACCCTACCATCACTTGGTGAAGGCTGCGGGGAAGTAACAGAGTAATTATTAATCCTTCAGAGAAAGTTGCAGTGAAATAGCAAAGCAATTGGCATGAGAGCATCAACATCAACTTTTCAGCGTAGGCCACACATTTTGTTGGACCTTGGTTACGTAGAAGCTTTCACATGCAAATGTAATTCTCCCAAAGACTTGACTTCATAATTACTTTGCCCTAGAAAAATAACATATACTCCCTCTAATTTTAAATATAAAAATTATATAACTAATTTATGAAATTAAGTTTATTATTTAACAAAATATCTGTTTGATTTACCTAAATACTCATCTAATAATTGTATTGAAAACTACCACATTAATAGCATAAAAAGAAAATTATAAATTTGACGGATAAAATATATTAAATTCTTATATTTAGAATTAAAAGACTCCTTCAATTCAAATTAGATCCAGATATCATCTAGTGAATCATGACTAATTCTTGGTATTTATTAATCCATTTAGTACCCAAACCCATTTCAGGTTAAACTGAACTAACAAAGAGAAATATAAAGTTGCTAACAAAGAGTTGGTCTAATAGAGTCTTTTTGGGTATTGAGTTCAAGTCCTAGAATTTTAGTGAGGGAATAAAATTCCATCACTAATTCGTTGCTAATTTAGTGATGGAATAAAATTCTGTTACTAATCTCTCACTAATTTAGTAACAGAAATTTTCCGTCATTAAATTCCGTCACTAATCTCTTTTTTTTTTTTTTTGCAGTGCAAGTTCCTATGTTCTTGTGTAGTGTATGCTATCTGGTCAAATATAACACAGGCTTGGTTTGGATGGAGGAAACAACTGTTCAAAATAAGGGGAGAAAATATTATGAACAAAAGTTCTAAAAATAATTAGAAAATTACTTTCTTTTTTTTGGGGAATTTCCCTTCGCGATATTCTTTTCTTTTTATTTTCTTTCACATCCAAACTAAACTAAAGTTTTAAGGTCATTTATTCTTCCCCTTATGCACAACTTTTCTGGTGAGGAAATGGGCCAATTTAATATGAAGGCCGATGCATGCAATTCTGTCAAAGACTTGAATTCTGAATAATACTATATTTTAGTTTGGTCCCAAAAATAACAAATATTAGAACCTATCATTGAACAAACTTGCAAACAAAATTGACCACATAATCACTAACAATTACTCTCCTAAGTTCTCTGAAGTAAAAGGGTTAAATTTGATTTTAAATATAAGATTTTAATTTACTTTGTCTATTATATTTATCATTTTTTTCTCAGAATAATTTATCTATATTATAAATTAGTCCATAATCTGATAATTTATAAAAATATTTTTAAAAAATCATGCCATGCTATATTATAATTAAATAATTTATTTAAATTTTTTAATATATCAAAATTATCTAAGTAACCCTTATATTAAAAATAAAAAATACTAACAGCAATTACCCTACCATCATACTTTAACTGGCGGGAAGTTGCGGGGAAGTAACAGAGCAAATTGGCATGAAGCATCAACATCATCTTTTACGTGCCAACCATTCACATGCCAAAAAAAAAAAAAAAAGTAACACCCATTCAGTCGCAACGGACCCTACAACTGAAGGTGCAACCTTTCCGTTTAATTCATGGTACATATGAGGGACAATGTTGTCATGATATTTTGTCTAAATTAAAAAAAAACCGAAAAGAATAATTATTATAGCATTATTTATCTATACTTTTTGTCGCTAAAAGAAAGGTGGGGGTTAGGATGGGAATGAAATATGTTATTGATTCCAATGTGAAAGGAGTAAAAGTATCAGTTGCCCCGTGTCTTTTGGTTCTGAAGACTTGAAAAAGTGAATAAACTCTATCCGTTGCCATCCATACTCTATCATCGGTTCGCTTTTGTCATTTCTCAGCAAAGAAGACAGACAGAGATCCAAGAGAGTAATCAGAATACCATGTTTCCCATAGCTTACCCATCATCATCTTCTTCTTCTAGGAAATATGATGTGTTTCTAAGTTTCAGAGGAGAGGACACTTGCAGAACCTTCACTAGCCATCTCCATACTGCCTTATGCCTCAGAGATATTCAGACATACATTGATTATAAGCTCCTAAAAGGCGATGACATCTCCCAGTCACTCATTGAAGCAATTCAGGATTCATCCATTTCTATGGTGGTCTTCTCTCAAAACTATGCCACTTTTAAATGGTGTTTGAATGAGCTCCTTCAGATCCTTTGCTGCAAACAACAGCAAGCACAAATTTTTGTTCCTATCTTCTACGAAATTGACCCATCTCATGTGCGCAAACAAAGGGGAGCTTATGAGCAAGCATTCGCAGAACATTTGGAGAAAAACCCAAAGAAGGCGGGGGAGTGGAGACAAGCACTTTTTGAGATTGCAAATTTAGCAGGATTATATTGGACTCCCGCAACTGTAGGTCACTCTTCATTCTCTAACTCCAAGTATCTAAATCAAAGTTTCATACTTATTCTTGTGATTGCTCTTCATATTCATATAAAGGGCTTTTCTTTTCATATTAGCTTATCTGACAACTAATTAACTGGTAGTGATCAGTAATGATGTTGGATCATGTTCATTGCAATACTCGTGTATATATGACATATAAACTTAATTTCTTTGCATTGTTGGGTTTATATGAGAAAAACATTATTTAAATGGTGTCATCTGAAAATTGGATACTTTAACTCTGAAAGTTAATTTTTCCCTCCTTTTTTCCCCTATCAGATTAAAGTTTATTTTTTAACTCTTCAACGTAACCCTTCTTACAATTAATTGCCACCACAAATAACTCATATAGTAGAGTAAATTATGTATACATTTCTTACGTTTGAATGAATCCTGCTTAATAATTTCGAAAATGGAGGAAAATATCCACACAAATTTGATAAAACCATAGAGAAATTTGTCATTTTTTTAAAAAAATAATAATCTTGTGATGTAAAAAAGCCGTCATCAATTAGTTATCACTTTATTGATATATTATTTCTTAATTAATTTTCACGTGATACATTAATATTTTCTTCTGCAATTAATATTTTCTTCTATAACTCTTTTTCTTATATTAGGGATGATGCAGAACTCATTCAAAATATTATCAATGACGTCATCAACAAACTGAACCATGAGTACTCAGGGAGTCTATTAGAAAATATTGTTGGAATTAATGAGAATTTGGATCATATTGAGTCATTGCTAGAAGAATCCTCAACAATTGGGATTTGGGAGATAGGCGGGATAGGCAAAACAACAATGGCTAAGGTTGTGTTTGCCAAGCTCCGCTCTCAATTTGATAGCTGCTGCTTCTTAGAAAATTTTAGGGAAGAGTCAGAAAGGCATGGGTTAAAATATGTACGTGACGAATTTTTCCGAGAGCTATTAAAGGATACATCTCTTGGAAGGCTCAATCGTAGAAAAGTTTTGATTGTACCTGGTGATGTTAGCAACACAAAGCAGTTAGATTATTTGGAAAGTGAAGCTCCTCCTCTGAGACCTGGCAGTAAAGTCATCATAACAAGGAGAGATAAAAACGTACTTGAGGGAAGAGTTGATAAAATACACAAGGCCGAGGCACTGGGCTATGACAATGGGCTTAAGCTTTTCAACCTCAAAGCCTTCCGCAAATTTGGTTGTAGAAGTGAATATAAAGACCTCGTTAAAAGAGCAGTTGCTTATGCTGGAGGAAATCCGTTAGCCTTAACCATTTTGGGTTCATTTCTACATGCCAAAACCGCAGAGGAATGGGAAAGTCCATTGAGAAAATTAGAAAACACGATCCATCAAGATATTCAAGCTGTGTTAAAATTGAGCTATGATGGACTTGATTATGAAGAGAGATATTTTTACACGTTGCTTTCTTTTTGAAAGGTGAATCTAGAAGATGTGTAATGACAACGCTAGAGAGCCGTGGCTTTCAAGCATGCATTGGTTTGAGAACACTTGTGGATAAGGCGCTGATAAGTATTGATTATGGGGTATGGATGCATGATTTAATTCAATCAATGGCTTTCGAAATTGTTCGTCAAGAGTGTATGAAAAATCCTGAAGGACGTAGTCGACCATGTAATCCTGAGGAGATCTGTGAGGTGCTTGAAAATAATCAGGTAGGAAAAATACTTGCCTTTCTAATTAGACATTTGACAATCACTGAATAGAAATTGTTAATATAAAGTAATTTATTTACTTTCTTTTTGGGATTTTGTGTTGTTCAGGGAAGTGATGCGATTCAAGGCATAAGTTTAGATTTGTCTCAAGTTGGAGATTTACAGTTGAGTGCTGATGTCTTTAGAAAGATGCCTAATTTAATGTTTCTGAAATTCTATTCTGTCGGGGTTAAAAGATCTTGTAGTGTAAAACTCCCTTCAGGGCTTGAGTCATTTTCCAATTCATTAAGGTATCTTGAATGGGTCAATTTTCCCTCAGAGTCCCTACCATTGTCATTTTGTGCTGAGAAGTTATTTGAATTTCACATGCCTTGCAGCCACCTTAAAATATTATGGAACGGAGTAAAGGTAAACATACAAATATGAGTTTTTTTTTTTAATTTTGCAATTTAATTCAAATCTAAGACTCTTGTTTCCTATGTAATATTTATCATTTTAATTGTTGCAGAACTTTGGGAATTTAAGGGAGATAAACCTTGCTGAATCTAAACAATTGACGGCGTTACCAGATTTCTCGGCGGCTCAAAATCTTAAACATGTTGATCTTTGTGGGTGTAAAAGACTAAAAGTTTATGCCATCTTCATCCATCAATTTTATCTCTCCTGAGATTGATTAGTGTAATACTCATTAATTGCAGAAACATAAAGAGTTTGAAGTCTGAGAATCAGTTAAAATCTCTCGCAAAGCTAATTGTCGTCGGCTGCTATGGTCTCAAGGAATTTTCATTCTCTTCAGACAAGATAACTTATTTAGATTTACGGCCCACAAGTGTCGAGATATTGGACTTTTCAACTGGGTGTATGGAGAAACTCCAGTACCTCGTTCTCAACTGCTCAAGACTGAAATATCTTCCAATTAATGACATTTGTTGCATGAGACGCCTTCAGAGTCTTGTTCTTTATGATATTGGAGGATTAATTGACAAATCAAAGCTCCATAGCTTATTTGATGCTTTGCTATCTCTAAAAGTAATTCATTTGGATGGAGCATTCAAATTAACTGATCTTCCAAACAATACCAAACATCTCTCAAGGCTACGATGTCTTTGCGTAAGCAATTGTAAAAGCCTTCAATCTTTATCAGAGCTTCCACCATCCATCGAAAAATTAGGTGCCTACGAATGCTCATCATTGAGGACACTACAACTTACTTCTCATTTTGAACCTTCATCGTTGGCAGATAAAAAATTGTTGGGTCCAACACTCTGTTACTCAGTTAGTTATCTTAGAAATCTTCAACGGCTTACTCTTAAAGGTTGTGAACAGTTGTATGAACTCCCTGAATTCATGGACTCCTTATCTTCATTATCTTCATTGGACTTGAGTGAAAGTAATGTGGAGAGTTTGCCTGCCAGCATTAAGCATCTTTCAAATCTAAAACAAAATTTTCTTGCGGGATTGAAGAAGACTTCGTTCTCTGCCAGAATTGCCGCCATTCCTCGAAACTGTTGATGCTAGTGGTTGCATGTCACTGGAGATTGTACCCACTGTAATAACTTCTGCACGACAACTGAGTTTCCTACATCTGAAAGATTGCTCGAAATTGGAGAACTGTTCTTCAGCCCGTGACATTGAATGGGCATATTTCTCATTGAAGCGATTAGTATACACAAAACAAAGAGGAGGTGTTGTTTACCCAGGAAGAAAAGTTCCAGAGTGGTTTATGTTTAATCAGGGAAAAAAGGCTTCGAACTATGTAACTATTGTGCTTCCTTCAACCACTAACGACCTAATTGGCTTCATTTTCTGATCTGTTCTTTCTCATTTCTGTTCTCATGACTCTCATTATAGCGTACAATGCCAACTTTATTATGATAGTAAGTGGTGCAAATGCTTACCATTTCCTATGCTCATCGAAAATTTTGATTCATGTCATGTTATTCTATGGTGTGATCCTTCCACACTCATAAAGTTGGGAAAAACAGTGGATGATCAAAACACCAATTACAAGCCAAAGCTGTCATTTGAATTCTCTGTTGTTACAAGGGATAACAAGTTAGTCGATGGTTTGGTTGAAGCATGTGGAGTCTGCCCAATATATGCCTCGGATTATCATAACTTCATTCAACAAATGGAATCGAAGTCAAACTTGAGTACTCAAAACAAGACTTGTCATGATGTTGATGAGAATTCATTTCGTGGGATACTAAAATAGTGAATTTCTCATTGGAGCAAGGAAAATATGGCAATTTTGAAGGAAGTGTCATTCCAGAGTGGTTTACTTACAAAAGTTCAACGATAAAAGATGGAGGTTTACGGGTGAGTGTTAAGCTTGCTCCAGATTTGGAAAACTTAATGGGTTTCATTTTCTGCTTTGTCATGCCTCATTTCTCCTCAAAAGAAAGGGATCAATGTCAGTCGTCATGTACATACCTTATTGAAGATAGGAGTAATGATTGGACAAAAAGGTTGCCTTTGGAAGGTCCAATAGGATCGCACTATTCAATGATAAGATTGAATTCAGATAGTGTTTTTCAATGGTATGATCCCCTCTTGTGTGGATGCATACTGCGGGAACTTCAAAGAAGAAGAAAATCTTATGATGGGGAGCTTGGATTTAGATTTAGGTTTGTTGATGGTTTGGTTAATTCGAAATTTCAGATTGGTGAGTGCTTGATCAAAGAATGTGGAGTTCGCCCAGTATATGTCTCAGTACACAAACTTCCTCCAACAAAAAATATTGAAGGCGAGTACGCGAAGAAAGAGGCATCGGAATATTGATGATGACCAACATCAACTCACTTCAACAAAGAAATTCAACCTATTCCCCTGAATTCTGAGTCCAAGACAACTGATGATGTCAATGAGTTGCTACTTATGCTGTCCCAATTAAATTTGGAATCTACAAAGAATCACAATCATTAGAAATAAATTACCTATTATTCGTTACTTGACGGGTGTATCTCTCTCTCTAAACAAATGTCCATTCGGTTTTTTAATAAAATATCGTTACTTTGCAATATAACTGATAATTATATTGGTGCGGAAGCCAAGTCATGTAGCAATAGCTAGCATGCAAAGGAATCAGATAAAAGCATGACATAATAGGATACGTGTGGTGCGTATCCCTGTGATGATCAGTTTTTGGATTAAATTTACTTCCTTTGTTGTGATTTTATCAACTATTTCTCACAAGTTCTTCTTCTTTTTTTCCTTTTTCTTTTCCAAAAGGATTCTTGCTTTTTTAACAAGTGAGTTCAACTTCTATAGAGAAGGCTGGGAGAACTTGCACATGGGAGAACGTCTTCATCACTTAGCCGACTGTGGCTAAGTATTTGATCTAATGTGGGATGGTGCTCTGATTAGAGGCTAACTAAGGAAACTTTTGGAATTAACTTGTAGCAACATATCTTCTTTCTGATGCAAACCCATCGTTCTGTTATTAATTTCTATCAGATAATATGAAGAACTATTTGTTGCAGCAGAGGCACTTATTCAGACATCGCCGATCCACTTGCTTAAGCTGTTTGTTTACATATTGACACAAGTTTTCTTATATGAAGCTGTTTGTCTACATATTGACATGAGTTTTTTTTTTTTTTTAAATATGCTTTGTTCTTCATTTATTCATGAAATCCTGAAATCCTTATTGGTCTATATTTTGTATCTTTAATTTGCGCTGATCTGTCCTGGCTGTGAGGCACATATGAGAGAAGATCTCTCATAACTTGGTCCTTGTTTCTTTGGTTTTTTTTTCTTTTTTAACAGAAAGAAATCTGACGCAGCTGCTTCGATCCATGTCAATGATCTGAGCAAGTTCCAAAGGGCCTTGCGTAATGATGTGGAACCGGAAGCCTGCTGAGAGACCCCGTATAGCCAAGAAGTCAACTGCCAATTAAGTTTGCCCTTTGGACTCACATGGCAAAGGCGTGCTTCCAATTCGCGATTAATCGTGCTTCTAGCTTCCTCGATGACACCATGGTCTGCCTGCTCTTCATCTCTTCCCTCCAAAATCAATTGGATGGCTTCCGTAGAATCAGATTCTAGGATGACTCCCCTAAATCCCATATCCCGGGCAACTTTCAAGCCACGAGTACAGGCCCACAACTCGACAGTTAGGTGGTCCCCTTCGGTGAACTGGCCTAGATGGTTTCTGTTTTGATCTCTCGTGTTTTGTAATGTTGCTTGGCTCTCTATGTTCAAAATATGTATGCATGTATTTATGTCTGTGCGCGCGCGCAGAGACCATGCCATTGAGTTCCATGCGTGCTTGTAACTATTGAGATTTGATCTCAAACTAAACCCATCATTATCATATTTGGGCTAGAAGAGCTTTGTTTATTCTCTTCTCTTAACTAATAATAGCAACCAAATTAGGTTGTATAATTGGTATACCGTTTATCTTCTTTGTAGCTTGGATTTTTTTCCTTTTTACTTTTACATATTAAGTAGATCTAATTAAAAAAATGCCTACGTTGGCTCCATCGTTTCTGTTGTCTTCCAACACTATCTTTTTTGGGAACAGTCCCACAAAGTTGACTTCGTCAAATGCGGCGCTGTCCCCCCCCCCCCCGTTTTTTTTTTTTGGCCTGCCAACCACATACGGCGTTGTCACACCATGTTTGATAGACTCTTTCAAATACGTGATTCATTTATATGATCAATGGCCATATTCCATACGTGTGTGTGTGTGTATTCATCAACATATATGATTTCGTTTTATTTTTGTTAGCCATACTCGCGTCAAAGTAGGAAGTTCGTAGTTTCTCAATTTGTAATGAAGATATAGAAATATGGGTGGCAAAGTCATTACAATCATTCTGTCTTTTCTCCTCTCATTCAGAGATACTTCCACTAAACTAGCGTGGAAAGGAAATTCTTTAGGCATCTATGATGTAAAAAATGGAGCTTCCATTTTAATTAATGTTGATTTTGCAGTTATTAATGATTTTTGGAAGTTCATTTGGAAATTTCCTTTGCCTCAAAAGATGTTGCTTTTTTACTTAGAAATGCATTAGATATGCTACCCTTCTAGTGATGTATTGAGGGCTCATCACCTTAATATTTCTGACCTTTGCTCTTTTGGTTGTCAAGTGGAGGAGACTTTATAGTATCTCTTCATTTCCTGCCCTTTCTCTAGAGTTCTATGGTTTGGATGTCTTAAACATAAAATTGCAACATGATAGCTTTCAACAGTTTATTGATTGGCTAAAGCATGCTCTCCCTGCTTTGGTCATGGATGGATATGTTAATGTTACTTGCAGAATCATCTGTATTTTAAATGCTATTTGGCAAAAATGAAATTTAATCCTCCATCATGGGAAGAAGATATCTTGAATTGCTACTGTCAAAGAGAAAGATGGCACATTCTCTCTCTTTCAGTTAGCCTTATCTCCTCAGTCTGATTTGAATAATTACCAGTTTCTATGAAATCTGTTTTGAGCAATGACTTCCCAATTAAAGAAGGATGGGATATTATTCTATATAAAGCCAAGAAATAGAGAACTCCTCACTGTCACGGAATTATATGCTTCAATGGAACATCATGACAAGAATTTCTATGAAGAAATAGAAATTACAAGCATCATGTCTTTCTTTAGTTATGCCTAAGATCTTCCTTTTTCTGGATTAAAACTTTTGGAGGATTTGTGCATCAAGGACTACGATTATTGACTGTGAGCTATGTGCAAAAACATTTCAGCACGATTCCATCTAAACCCCATTAGGTTTCTTCTCAAGCTAACATCTTTGGCATTTTCCTTGATGCAGAGTGTAGCAATAAGCAATGTGCGGTTGAGAAGGATAAAAGGATAACAGGAAACTTGGTCTGTAGTCTTACTTCATTGGATAACATATTCAGTCATCAAAAACCATTTGAAAAATAATTTAAAAAAAACGTGACCTGATCAAGTTTGTAGCTCAGAATAGCTTCTCTTTTCAAAATTTTCTGTTTTAAGAACTCCTTTTCAGAAGTCCTTCTTCTTTGCAGGATTTGTGCTATTTCCCGTACAACTTGATCTCTACTTAAGCTGTTGACTTTCACAAATGCCCTTCTTGGTTTCTTCATTAGTTCACCCTTGCTGGAACCACTATTTCAAGTAGAAAAGTTTTATTGGTCTCTCTTCCACCTCTAGTAATTCGTTCTGATTTAATAGTACGGACCTGGAATTGTACCTCTTTTATACGAATGAGTTGTATTTCTTTTTTGTTCATTAAAAGTTCCTTTCCTTAACTGTGTTTCCTTTGCAAGACTCATAAGCTTTAACAGCCCAAAGCAGAAGAGAAAATTGTATATCTTCACTATCTGCTCCATCAAATGGGTTAAACTTTGACAGCTCAAACAAACAGCATTGAGAGGTACCATTACCTAAGAAGCAGAGTACTAAAGCGATGCATATATGACTTTGGGCAGATTGACTTGTTGGTTTGAAAATGGTAGGTATTTAGAATTACTTCTTTTATCATAACTTTAATTTGTATACATGAAAAGTAGAGTTCTAGAGTGATCATAT